ATGAATTATATATTTTGGAGTTTGTGAATGTGTAACTCTTATGTACGTGCACCTTTTTTTATTTGACTTAAATATTACATGTATAATTATCATTTTAAAGTACTGAATCTGGTTTCAACCCATTTCAATTTATATGAATATGGAAGGTCCTTTACGTCGCAAATATAAGGACTCTTGTAAACATCACCTTTCAGAGTATAATACGTATATTGAAGAAAAGTTGACGTTTTTGGAATCGAAAGTTGAATCCATTGAGTGTTCACAAACCAGAGCACGTAAGTTTGTTTAATTCTTTTAGTTCTTGATTTTCTTCTTTACATGCATACCACTGATTGTTTTTTTAAATATGGATGATTGGTCTGGTATTCTAGCTCATCGCTTGTCATTTATGGCGACTGCTGCAGGCAATATAAAAATCGTCAGAGGATTTTTATTTTTTGGCAATGTTCTATCCAAAAACTAGGAGCTTACAACAATAATACTGATATGTTGACCACCCTTGTATTCGGGTTATACTTCTTTATGGTCACTATAAGTATTCCAACCCCATCCGCCTCTTGTAACAGTGCTTGACTACGTGAGGATACATATCGAGATAAACGGCACAAATTCCTCGTACTTGTTTATCAGAACAGAATGTTTTTGGGTCAAAAGATCAGAAAAAAAACCTTGTTGGAGCTTTCAGAAGTGGACGAAGTAAACCACTGGAAGTGGTTTTTTAACATTGCGGGTAGATCTTATCGCTCGCACGTCTCGGGATTTCTAATAGATTTAAGCTGTTCTTATTTGAACCATTGAATAAAATTGTACATGAATAATATCATGGAAATCATTTTTATTACCGGTAACCACAGTCACTGTGCAATGTAATACCCCTACTAATGTGTTCGGAACCTTTTATTTTTCGGTCTTCTGCAAATTATAAAAACCGAGGAGTTCGCAATAGCTCTGGCAGTAGCTCTGGCGAGATTTAGCGAAGATTAAGTAGATTTTGATTTTTAACCCCCTCCCCTCCACCCTTTTCTTTTTTAAGTCATGAAAATCTTTCAGAAAGGTTTCATGGGACATGTTTTTAAAAGGAACAGACTATATCAATATCCTATTTACTGCCAATTTTATCTTTAAAAAACGGATCTACCTTATAAACTTTGAATGGGTCAACCTACACCACGTGTCTTGAATTTAAATCACAATAACATTAGTAGGGGTGATGTAAGAAAAGTTACTATTCAAAGAAATTTGAATGTTTATACATATACATTAAATAGAGTATTGTTATAGATGAATTGTAGTATAAGAAAAAAAAATTAAAATACAAGGATGACATTCGATTTTTTTCTTTTACACACCTGTATCATTTCTCTGTTTGTCCAAATAAAAATGTTCACGGTGAAAAAATACGAACACTACTGCACAATCACTTTAATCCATCATCAGCTTACTTTAGCAAAATATTGTATGAGTAACTAGTACATTATACGTACAAACAGCAAATTTGTCACGTCTTTTAAAATAAAATTCCAAAATTTTTTCAGGTTTCTTCGATCATTGGAGGGAGAATTAAGTATAAATGTAGTTCGTATTACCCGAACTGAAAAAAAATCCAAATGACATCTACTAATCACAGTTGCATAACAGTTGTAAATTAAATGTTTAGCATGCGATACGTACATGTGCGTTTTCCTTGAATTGTGGAGACTAATACCTCATGTGATCAGTTTTGACATCTCTAAACTTCTTTGGACATTGTAGTATATTATTTGTGTGCTGCAAACAATACGCAAAACTAAAAATCGCAGGAACTCTGCTAGAAAAATCATTCGACTCAATGGATTAAAAGTACGATTTATTTTAAAATACTTATAGTAATGACAAGTATTCAGTGTACTGATTTTCCATTTTAGAAATGTACTGCATTAATACTTGCTAACCCCCCTAAATTTCACTCGAATTACTAAGTGGCCAATCAGCAGTGTTTGAAGGCGTGAGGCAAATGATAATTATTGCACTTGGCTGATGGATTGCTGTCCCGTAAATCGCACACAACAATCCACATGACAAACCTCTGTTTTCTCTCCAGGGTTTGTACCGTATGACTTCTTGTTTCCAAATGTCACTTTGAGGACTGGTGCATGATTAGTCACACTTGCAAAAATATTTCATCAATCTACATGGCTAATCTAATTGCAAGATGTAAAAAACGTAAAACCAAAATAAAACCATGTCAGATACCGCCATACTGAATTGTTTATTCTTTCAATGTGATTGCAATTATCGCTACATGTAAGTGCGATAAGTGCCATTTATTGAAGAAGAACAGTCTAAGAACGATCATGTCTACTACTTTTAGCTCAATTTCTCCGTTAGCCGCAAGTCAGGAAATACGTTTGCGCGCCAATCCTTTCTGCTTCATCGATCTCAACCCCCTCCCCCCCCCCCCCCCAACATTCTGGAATTCATTAACGGGACAAATTATTATATGTAGATCTCCATAAATCATTCCATGGATTTCCTTCTCTCTCCCTAGTTATCTACTTTTATGATATAGTTATTTAGCACGGACATAGCTGTAAGCGTCAACATCTTCATATTATTTCCGTATAAATGTAAAAGATGTATATGATAAATATTTTTGTCGTTTGTTTCTGTGTCTCTCTGCCCTATTCCTTTATGGTTTCTGAAAGGAACCTCAAAGGATTTTATGGACTTTTCTTTATGATGACATTAGCCATCGTCATGCAGATGGCTTTAGCAATCCTTCCATGTTGCACACCATGCCCGATGCACTGTGGAATTTTGCAACAAGCCATCGGTGGCAACTTCTGTTTACCCTCTAGGGTTCTCAACACCATATGGTTCCTTGTTTCTATAAACTGCAGGGTTGATGGGTAAAATCAAGGTCGGACGGGTTATTAGAAACACATTTATTTTGCTTGATCTTGAAGGCAGCAGTGGTACTGGGTTCCCCTACATATTGAAGATGCTTATGAATCGTACTCCTCGGAATTTTTATTAACTGAAGCAGTTACCATTTTTTAAAAAAATCAAGTAGGTATACATTTAATATTTAAAAGACAACTCAAAAGAACTGCCTGCGAACGAAATCTGACCACTACAGCACATCTTTTATTCAGTTACATTACTGAGAAAAATTAATATAAGCTGTTGTAACATATGACACGTGCATGTATCCTGTGTCATTCCCAAGTACATGTACATGCACTGCAATAACGGTTATATGAACTTTAAAAATAGTATTTGTTGAACAATTACAATTACGTTTGTTGTATCAACACACTAAATATAAAGATAATTATACACATATACACTTCTATGTACAAAATAGATGTGGCACAAGCATTATCTCTTACTAATGTACTTCGGTATCAGTTTAGGCCTGACTGCAAGAATTATTGAAATTTCTCAAGTGATTGTCATCAAATGTTAGAAATTTATTCCTTAAAATTGCTATAAAGCTTTTCAAATGATCTACTTCGCGGGTACACAAACGTATTATTTACGACACTTCAACTCCTAATTCACACGTATAAAAGCGCTACATCTCTTCAAGGAGAGAAATACAACCATAACATTTTCTGACGAAAAAAAATATTCCACATCCTAATTATATTACTGGGAATCGGTAAGGACCTAGACCTTTAGTTTGTGAATTGACTTCCCAATGGAATACCTTCAGATATTCCAAAACACAGTATTTCCTTGTTTGAAACCAATTCAAAGTTGTCGATGGAAACGATTTAACAATATATAGCTACCTCCTCGCCAAGTGACCTTGACGTTTGAAATATGACCCCGAGTTGGGACTTGACATCATTTTAGTTTATCGGAAACGCAATTTTCAAACGCAATCTTTCCATTTTTCTGCTTTGTTTGCTTCTCCTCTATAAAGTTCTAAAGGTAAATACATATTTATGTGCAATTTATCATAATTAATAAACACATTTTTTTTACGTTTCTAAACGCTCAATATATATTAGAATAACCATATAATTATATTGATCAGAACCTTTGATATTTACGAGTTTCGACATTGAGTACGGCTACTCTCATCTTTTATAAACGTTTTCATATTTTGAGTTAACTTTTACACAGTTTAACTCATCAGACTTTTTCCCTTTTTGGCTTGTCGAAGAATTTCTAACTTTATAGTTCGTTTGTGACCACTTACCCTTTTTAAACTTAAACTGCTGTCTACGGACCTACATTTAATCAAAATATGTTCTCCGAAACCGTATAACAAAGTTCATCTCTGAATAAAAGACGTACACATGAACAAGATAGTCTTGTAATTTGTAAGAAGACCAAAAACTTTTGTGTGCACACCTGTTACGTATTATTACATTCATGCACATTTCCGTTACTCTAGAAAATGAAATTAACATCATTTTTTGCAACCTTGCAAAGATGTTTGGAAGCAGTTTATTTTAACAAATAAATCGTTAACACTGTGCTACCAATTACCTATATAAAATACACTCTGTATATTCCCGCATTAGTGTGATCAATCGCTATGGTGAAAGGGACCCTCTTTGTTTTATTTGAAATACCCAATGATTTATGGTGACCCATATCATAAGTCATAATTACAGATTCAAATAAAATAAACTGATAACAAACATTTTTAATTGGTAAATTTCGTTGTAAATAAATGACCGAGCAATGACTGCAATTTGCTACGAACTGTATTTCAATGGGAGTGTGGCGCTGAAATAAGGGAATGTTTGTTTCAGAGATTTTAAATCATGACATCGCTATTCAGACTGTTTTTGTAAACTTTTTTTTAAAAATCGTGTTATGCCTACATGTGATGTAGTTTGTAACCTCTGGGGATTTGTGGAATATGGTGCTCTGGGTATCACGTTTCGATATTTAAACGTAAAAAGTCATCATTATGATAAATAACCGATGTCAGACATATATGTATATATAATTGACAGAGCTTTTTTAAAATTCATTTTATCGGCAAAAAAATGTTTCAGATCACACTATCTCTAAGCACTTACTTTGCTTTTGTAGTGACGGTATGGCGCCAGAGCGACTCTTGTGAACGTCACCTTACCGGATATAATATGTGTATTAATGAAAAGATAACGCTCTTGGAGTCAAAAGCTGGACCCACTAATCTATCACAAAACAAACCAAGTAAGTTTGTTTTAATCTTTAGCTGATTTTTGTTTTCTATCATATGCATATCACTAATGTTTTTGAATAACTCTGGATGACGATTCTGCCATTTTAGCTCATCAAATCTCATTCATGGCTACTGCTTCACGCGATATAAAACCAATCGTCGGAGGAACTCTTATTTTTGACCAAGTTCTAACCAATAAGGGGGGAGCTTACAACAGAAATACTGGTATCTTTACCGCCCCGGTATCCGGGTCATACTTCTTCGTGGTCACTGTAAGTATTCCAACCCCATCCCCCGCAAACGGCCAGGACTACGTAAGGATAGATATCATGAAGAATGGCAAATTATCCGGGTACTTGTTTATCGGAACTCAAGGTATATGGATCAAAAGATCAGAAAATACGTTACTGGAACTTTCAAAAGGGGACAAAGTAAACCTGCACGTCAGAACCACAGGAAGTGGGTTTCAACGCATTGCGGGAGGAAGCTATCACTCGCACTTCTCTGGATTTTTGATTAATTGAAACATTTTTATTTGAAACAATTGAATAAAGTTGTTTATGTAAGTAACAAGGCAGATCATTTTTATTACTAGTGAACTTACTTTATGTGCAAGTAAGCTCATTATTTCAGAATAATACGGACGTTTTATAATTATTCTTATAATAGATCACAGCCTATCGGAAAAATAATACAGGACCAGAATTTAAATTTTGTTTTACACACTTATCAGACCATAGAGATACGTTTTTTTTGATTATCGAAATTAAATGTTCTTATTTATTATTTAAGTCCGATATTTAATATAGAGCGCCACCTCTGATCAAAAATATGCAACTATTTATGATAGAACTATTTCTGACGATTACAAAACATGTTTTATTTTTAGATCAGAGGGTCGCTCATATTATTTCTCTTCTGTGAAAGTACTCAAATATACTTGTTTTCTTTAAAATTCAAGACCATTGCAATTGCATGAAGCGTTTTCCAAGACCTTGGCTTTAAGGAGAAAATTTTTAATAGGAAATGAAAGCAATAAATCTCTACTTTATCTTGATGTTTAAAATGGAACATTAAATGTTAGTCACAAAATTGGTATATCTACGGGGCCATTTCATGCATAAAGTGAACCTAGCTCTTTGTTTCAAACACATACTTTCAATGATTTTTAAAGGGGTGAGATGGGATCGCATCCGAAGCACTTACCCTTCAAACAACCTTTAAAATAATAAAAGTCGTTCTTAAAGAAAAAAAAAACACATACCCCAAGTGTCGAGAAGTCTCCTCTGTCTTTGCATAATTTTTTTTTACCGCGAAACGTCATATTTCTTTTACCAATCAAGTTTAACTGAAGAGCATTCCCATTTATATGATAACACTTTTGCTTTAAAGACGCACATGTATAATGAAATATATGGGGATAACGAACAGTATTCAAGCTCAAAAGTCCATTAAACAATACAAATTTTGGAGCAGGACCTCTAAAACATCAGAGTCGGGATCAGGTGCCATGGAGGAGTGAGCAACCCCTGCCGACCGGTCCCACTCGCCGTGTGCTCCTTGTCATGATCGGGAAATAACTGAAAAATCCGTCGACATTTCAGTATGTACATAATGCCCTAACAATTAGTATGAAAACGTCAGTCAGCATTTGACTTAATGATAAATTGTATTTGCTAACAAGGCCATTGTATCGACGATAGAGCTTACTAAATGACGACTTTAAACGAGACTGCTTATATTTTTGCTTCATCAACTTCTTTGTCAATAACTTAACTCTTTTTAGAAATTGTTCATACGAAGAACATGCTCTTGCGTATCGAATCAACTGAGAGATATAAACCCCATATGCAGGTGATGAAGGTGTATTGCTGCATAAGTAAGGGAAGTTGACGATTGAAATGTTTAAGTCATCAAGTTTATCTTATAGCTTGGTTGTTAGATTACCATTAACGTCTTTTTCTAGTAAAATATCCAAATATGAAACAGATATATCAGAATCTGTGGTATCTTTTATTTCAAGCTCACTGGAATATATCGTGTCGACATAAGAATGGAAATAACTATTGTTAATTGACAATACGTCATCGATATATCTAAATGTCGAGTTGAAGGCCACAACAATTTCCATTGCTCTAGTTGGAAAATCTCAAAATAAAGTTGATTGAGAGTTGCAGATGCAAATATGCACTACATCACGCCTCAACATGCTCTTACGTATCATCATCATGAATGACAGTCCTTGGACCGGAAGTCCAATCGTTACTTCACTGCGCTAGGCTAGAGAAAATTCGACCTCATCATCTGAAAAACGGGCATTTAAAAATGGCAATGAATATTCCTTTCGCTCGGATCTCGAGATTGAGAAACCTATTGCATCGTAGAAATCAGGCTGCAATTGTGCATGGCAGTCTTGCACGCTGTAATTGAATTGCCGGGGTGGGGGTGTTTTAACAGTCATGTGTTACTTTCTAACGTTAAAAGATAATCATTAACATGTTATCAAATCTCTGATGTTTTTAAATCGAGTTTTACCTAACTGTATTCATTTTTGAAAATCATTAGATGAAAAATTCAAATATTTTAGGATTACTGACAGTTGCGTTCCTTTTTCATCGCCCGCGTGGCGCAGTGGTTAGAGCATCTGCTCTAGAGTCGCGGCGTAAGGAATTGATCCTTACGTTACGGGTTCGAATCCCACTGTGGGACGTGGAAACCGGTCCTTCGGATGAGACCGTATAAACTGAGGTCCCGTGTCGCATTAGATCCCTCACTGCTCAATGGCCGTAAGTGCCTAAGTATAGGACAAAATTTGCAGCTCTCCACCGGCAAGTGGTGGCGTCTCCATATGAGTGAAAAATTCTCGAGAGGAACGTTAAACTTCAAACAAACAAACAATGACTAATGAAGTTAATTGTGCCCAACCTGATAAAGCGTCAACATTTCGCAAATTCTATGGTCGATATACAATGACCTTGTTAGTAAATACAATCTACCGTTAAGTCGAATGTTGATTGATTGATATTTTTCATACAAATTGTAGGGCCAATATTTACACATTGAATTGTCTACAGATTTTAGGCTTGATAACTATTCGGTATCTCCATATTTCATTTACATGATTCCATAAATTCATGTAGTCGATCCAAGCCCCGACCACTTCTTTCCTTTCTGTTACTCTCACACAGCAAGTGATTTTTTTTAACCACGTCTATCGATGGACCAATAGCTTTATATATGCAGAAATCATTTTTTTAACATTTGTATTTTTATCTCGGAAAAAGAAATATGAAATATATTTTTTCGATCAACCCACGTCAATGCACGTATTACTAATTAATACACATACACAGCAATGGATTACTCCTTTTGAGGAAAATTTTTAGATCTGCTTCATCTGTTTTACAAACTCCGAAGTTAACAACATCCGTCCCGAATGAAAATTGTACTCATAATTCGTAAAATTTAGTTTTGAAGGGCTGTCTCTTGTTTTGCTTTGCATTTGCAACAGTTTTTTTTTTTTCGTTTTCGAGATAAATACAAATAAATGTTCTGCAAAACGAGTTAGAATGCGTCAAACATTGTTTATTTTTTTCAAGACATAGATTTTGTTCTGTCTCTCATTCTTTTCGTTCCGTGTCTAGTGAGTTTTGAGTCCGTCTAATCAACCAATCTGGAATAATTATAGTTTGGAAATTAATATTAAGACCATTTTACAAAATGTATTTCTAAAAGACATAATACATATAGCAATACTTTCAAGGACATTAGGTAATTTATTAAAATTACCTAATGTCCTAATATATTAATATGTTTTTCTTTAAGAACAAGAATCTTTTCTTGTATAAATTCTCACATGAAATAGCTTTAAAAAGTATTTGACCCATCTGGCTATAAAGGAGTAGGAAAAAAGAGTTTATGGGCCTTACAGGTTAAATGAATACCAGTTACACTGCATTGATTTTTTTTTTTAAACCATGCTAAAAGTTCCTTTGTTCTATCCTCTTCCTTGTAAAACCCGAGAGGCTTTATCTCGCCTTGATAGAAAGCTTAATAGAAATGTTTCAGAGATAAGATTTAATTACGAAAATGTGTTCAATTTTGAAATATTAACCTTATTTTCGGGAAAATAATTTGAAATTATTTTATAGGACATATAAAGAATATAAGTGACCCCTTCTCTGACCTAATGAATATAAATAAAACAGCAAGCTATCCTCCGAGTGAATAATGTGACCTTATATGTATTAATATTTTGTGAAAAGTATTCCTTGAAACTGTATTAGATTGATTAGATTGAAATGAAACACATCTCAAAGATTTTTCTTGCAAAATCCAATTCAGCTCTAATTTTTTTTAAAGAAGGGAGTAATGCATAATGCATAAAGTTATCTTCATATGCAAGTTCAATTAATCACTATATTATTAATTAATTATGAATAAAAGTAGCTAACTTACTGTAAAACGGATTTCACAGTTCCCATTAAAACATGCTTGTCCAATACCACAATGTAGGTCCTGTGACATGAAGAATATTTTGATTATCCGGGTTTTAATTTTTACGGTATAATCAAAAAATAGGCTAAATATATATGACGTATAGATTGTTCATCAACTGAATATGTTATTAAATGAAAAATAAATACAATATAGTTAGTGCAGCATGTAATGGAATATTTCCTGAAAATTCTCTGTTACTGACTTAACAACAAAAAACAGTTATTTCAACTCACTGTATAGCATTCTGTGAAGTCTCCTGAAATTTATGAAAACAAAATAAAAAGTTTGATAATTGTCTTCATTTTTTTCATCAATATTACACATTTTACCGTACAGGTCACAAAACTTTTTTTTTAATTTATATGCTTTCGTGATTTAATTGAATGCATATTTTGGTCAAAGGTACAGACAAAACATATATCAAGAATTTTGAAAAACATTCTTCTTTTCAATGCAATTAGGTGTGTTATTTACTACGTTTTCACGTAACTTTTTTGAAATTGAACATCGATATCGCTTTAGCACTTACAACATATTTCCAGTTTTCCGCGATTCGAAACTGCTTGTCAGCGAAAAAATCTTGCTTTTACGTGATTATTCTTATTTTTTTTCCCGCGACTTATTTTAACATGTATCTCTTTAATTCCGTTAGTCAGGTAAAGTCTGTTCCTCTTGCTTAACACGGTCATTTCTTTTGCATCGGTTGTAATTGTGGCTTTGCATATTTTACCTACGCTCCGTCGGTAAGACATAACACCATTCCTTAAAACATCCATTCGACCATTCTTTACGTAAATCTATCTTATAGAATACATTTGTTTCCAGGATTTGTTTCTGTATGAACAATTTCCAAATCCGATCAGTGTAAAATGTGAAATTCATTCAAATTTGATCACAAAATGAGCTAGTACTCACTAATGAGCAGAACTCTTCGGGGAAAATAGGGGTAATTATCGCCATCCGTTTGATGCTAAGCGCTAATCGTGGCCATTTAGAAATCGCGGAAAGGAGGTATTTAAAGATATTCACGCTATAATATAAACGCGATTTTTTATGTGAAACAAAATGATTAAATGATTTGAGAAACATGATATGCAATAAAAATAATTACTTTCCACAAAGTTTTATTAAATAAGTCGTTGTAATTACAAAACAATTAAGCAACATCTGCAATTAAGAATTTAGCCTGTTCATGAATATTGATGAAGGAAGTGCGTAAACAGTATATAGACACGCATGTCCGCGGGAAATCATAGACAATGAGGTACATTGCATTTTGACTACGATTTTGAATAAAAGTTAATATCTGTCATTACAGAGTAGATGGCTAATACTGGTGTTTTTCAAAGATAAGTATCTTTAAGCATAAAACGTATGCCATCCATGTCAAAATATATTATTTTGTATACCAAACGGCCTACCTCGTTTTCTTGACGCCATTTTTGTTTATCAATCTAAAAGTAGCGACGGTGTCACATGATGCATGAATTTAAATAGAAGCATTACTTTCCTAGTAGGATAATAAATAATTATGATTTGAGATCTTTATAATGCGTTCATTTCCAATTGTGTAATTTACAATATTTTCATAACTGTATTTGGTAAAGAAAATAAATAATTTTCCAACTTTATTTTTAACTGACGCAAGTTATAACGTGTATATCTTTAAAAAAAAAAAAGGGAAATAACACACAACATATAGTAAAGATCAATCTCGGAAAATCAGTGTGAAGAAGTCGCGGAAAGCAGACAGGTTGCGAAAATAAAATCGCGGAAAAGCAGGACGGCCCTCTTAAGCAAATACCATCCTTAAGTTACAATAACCAACAGAATTTTTTTTTCTACGTGTATAATAAATTCCAGATAAATATTATGAATTAAAACACAAACTACCTTCTCCAACGTTATTTTTTTGGTTCCTATATACATTTAACAGATAGGAGCAAGGATTTCGTCAGTGTTGATATTGGATGTTGTCAGTTCTATTGTTTCTCAAAATTTGTAGCATCGTACAAGAATGTAGAAACTTAATTTCATGCTATTTTTACTAAAAGAGGCCATTAAATGCTACTTACATGTAGCTAATTAATATTCATCGTCCCTCTGTCTGTTTTTATACCAAAGTTTGATTTCACGCTATTGCTTTTCAAAAAGATGTCTTATTTATGATTAAAATACACACACTTTCAGCAAAGCTTTCAGGGTAAAATTTTAAGTTGTTTTAAACTTGAAAACGTAATCATGTTTATTTTTGAAAGTCATTATAGTATTTTTAACGTTTTGGTATGGAATGGTATTCAATTCAAAAAACGCTCTATGAAAACTAAGTTTAATTATAACATTCAAACAGCTGCATTTAAGCTGTTATTCGTACAAAATTGGGAGCAACCAAGTACTAGAAAAAAAAAATTACAATCATTAAGATATTGCGTGTTTCAATTAATTGTTAAAGGATCGTTTTCAAATGAAATTGAGATAAAATTTGGCTCATGATTTATATTGAATAGCACTTATTGTTGCTTTGAATGCATATTAAGAATGGGTTTTTTGACGATTAATCTGTAATTTTTGTTAATACTTTAATATTTTAACAGATAAATTGTTTCCCTTACCTGAAACACATTTTCCATTTCGACATAAATCTCGTGGATTAGGGCACGGATTTAACTGTTCAATAAAGAATCAAATAAGTGAATAAAAATAATATTTAATGTGTTTTATTATATATATATATATATATATATATATATATATATATATATATATATATATATATATATATATATATATATATATATATATAATGGTGATCAAAGTTTTAGTTTTATTTTAAAGTATGTATTAAAAATAAGACTTACCGGAGAACAAAATTGGTGATCTCCTAAGATGTAAGAAAAAAAACATCTCATTTACGATTGTATTAATAATATTTTTAACTAGAAATGAGTTGCAGATTATTATTAAAATGAATCATGAATGTTAAATAAGTTTAGAATATAACTCTGAAGTGCAGTTCCACTTTTCCTCGATTCGATACTGCTTTTCAGGGAAAAGAATCCTGCTTTTCCGCGATTATTATTTTTTTTTCCGCGACTTATTTTAATATGTATCTCTTCAATTCCGTTAGCCAGGTAAAGTCTGTTCCTCTTGCTTAACACTGTCATTACTTTTGCATCGGTTGTAATTGTGGCTTTGCATATTTACCTACGCTCCATCGGTAAGACACAATGCCATTCATTAAAACATAAGACATTCTTTACGTAAATCTATCTTATATAATACATTAATTTTTTGTTTCCACGATTTGTTTCTGTATGAACAATTTCCAAATCCGACCAGTGTAAAATGTGAAATTCATTCAAAGATCACAAAATGAGCTTGTACTCACTAACGAGCAGAACTCTTGGGGGGGGGGGGGGGGGGATACGAGTAAATATCGCCAACCGTTGATGCTAAGCGCTAAACATGGCCATTTAAAACTTGAGGAAAGGATGTATTTTAAAAAACACATAACATATAGTAAAGATCAATCTCGGAAAATCAGTGTGAAGAAGTCGCGAAAATAAAATCGCGGAGAAGCAGGACGGCCCTCTTTGGCATATATCATCCTCAAGTTGCAATAACACAATAACCAACAGTAAAAATTTTTCTACGTGTATAATAAATTGCAGATTAATATTAATAATTAAAACATGAACTGCTAAATAAATTTAGAATAAAACTCATTTATTTCACTCATATATAACTGGCAGGTGCAAAGATTTCTGGAAAGGTGTCCAAATACAATAGCTCAAATAATTTCTCTAATTTCAAATTACAATGTATGTCGTGCGAGAAAGATTACATAATTTGTATTGATTTGCACTTAATGTTATTTGTGTATTCATATAGAAAACGGTGTGCTGGTGGTAAATCTATAATTTTTGTTCATACCTCTAACAACATTTTTAAAGATTCAATGTATCTCTTACCTGGACCGTTAACACATCTACCATTTAGACATTTATCTCGTGGATCAGGGCATTGCTCCAACTTTTTAAGAAAGAACATATATCATTGAATGAGAATAACATGGTAAATATTTTTCTTTATATAGCACCATAAATTAATTGTAATAAATTTTCTTCTTTGGAATTAATAGTAGAATATATAATTTAAAATAACAGTTACCAAGGAACAAGTCTGCTGCTGATGTCCTGAAATGGAGGAAAACATCCAATTAATCATTGTTTTTAAAACATTGCAAGTGGCAACGAATCACAAAGCAGTACTAATGATTGAGCCATGAATTATAAAGAAAACTACAATGAAACTCCAATGCAAATATCATCTTTTGTAAAATGTTTTCACTTGTTTGATTATTTGCTTTTTAAACTTCGATAATTTTTCACTCATATTGAAAAGTCACAACCATCTAGTGGAGGACTGCAATTTTACACCTGTACTCGGCACTTACGACCTTTGAGCAGTGAATTTAAGAAGTTGGTTTTAATTCTACGTCTGGAAACCTAACTTTTACTCGCAATTCACTTTTAAAAATCAAATACCTCAAATTCATATTTCAGTGTTTGATAAGTTTTACATTCCAGTCAACCATGGTGTGTTCAATTTACCCTACCTTTCCATAATTTGAGGACTTTATAAAAATCCTTTCAATTAAAGATACATTGCCGGGTGCACCTTAGCCTACCTGTAGATAAATATGATCACAGATTGATTTTTTTATGACAAATATGAAAACTTTATCTATACTTCAAAGTGCATTTTGAAATTTTAAATTGTATTTCATACTTCGAACACATCTTCCGGCTAGACACGTATCTCGTGGATCACGGCATGGATCATACTGAAACAAAAATCAATCTTTTATTGTTGATCTCACTAAATTTGCAATAATATATACACGCTATGAGATATATAAACCAACATTTAGTTATGACAAAATTTGAATACTTTTTTTAATCAATAGAAATGGTTAAAAATAGAATTTAAAATAAAATTTTAATAATTTAAAAAAAAAGAATTTAAAATAATAGTTACCTGGGAGCAAGTGTCCTGACCTCCTTAAATGGAAGAAACGCTTCATCAAACATTGTATTAGAACTATTACAAATGGCAATAAGTCGTTGTTGATTATTGTCAATAAAGGCATGAACTGATAAACATTTTATCCTTAAAGAAAATATTTTCTCTTCCAAAAAAGAAAACCTTCTTCAACATTATTTTTGTTCCTATATAACAAACAAGCAAGAATTTCGTAAGTGTAGATATTGGATGTTAATTTTATTAATTATTTAAATTTGTAAGCATCATAAAAATGCCGAAACTTAATTTCATGCTATTACATTCAAAAAGGTTATTAAGTGCTACTTAGCCAATTGATAATCATCGTCCCTCTGTTTTTATACAAAAATTTGATTTAACACTATTGCTTTTCAAAAAGATGTCTAATTTATTATTAAAATACAAACATTTTCAGCAAAGCTTTCAGGGTCAAATTTTAAGCAGCTTTTTTAACTTGAAAACGTAATCATGTTTAATTGGAAAGTCATTGTAGTATTTTACCGTTTTGTTATGGTTGTTACGAGTCAAAGAAATAAGCAAAGAAATTTCGAGCTTAATGCTGGACTCGAAAGGGACGCAGTTTTGAAAAAAATGACTCATAACCACAATGATTTAAAATAAAAGCAGGAAAGTATAAAAACCCAGATCACTTGTCACATAAATGTAATTCATACTTCGAACACATCTTCCGGCTAGACACGTATCTCGTGGATCACGGCATGGAGAAAACTGAAACAAAAATCATTTTTTATTGAGGAATTCGCTAAAGTGCAATAATATATAAACTCTATGAAGCATTTTAAGAGATATTATAATAACACCAACATTTAGTTATGATAAAAAAAAAATAAAAATCGGTAATTAACAGAAATTTGCATAAATTAAAAATAATAGTTACCTGGGAGCAAGTTTCCTGACCTCCTTAAATGGAAGAAACGTTTCATTAAACATCGTATTAAACTATTACAAATGGCAAAAAGTCGTTGATTATTGACAATAAAGGCATGAACTGGTAAAAATTTAATCCCTAAAGAAAACATTTCTTTTCTAGTTAAACCTTCTCTAATATTATTTTTGCTCCTATATAACAGACAGAAGCAAGGATTTAGTAGGTGTAGATACTGGATGTTGTCAATTCTACTGTTTCTTAAAATTTGTAAGCATCATAAAAAATGTAGAAACTTAAATTTGACGCTATTTTTATTAAAAGAGGTCATTAAATGCTACCTAGCTATTTAATATTCATCGTCCTCTGTATTTATTTTTGTTTTTTGTTTATATATATATATATATATATATATATATATATATATATATATATATATATATATATATATATATATATATATATATATATATATACAAACGTTGGATTTAACGCTACTGCTTTTGAAAAAGATGTCTAATTTATGATTAAAATACACACACTTTCAGCAAAGCTTTCAGGGTAAAATTTTAAGTAGCTTTTTTTTTTTTGAAAACGTAATCATGTTTAATTGGAAAGTCATTGAAGTATTTTACCGTTTTGTTATGGTTGTTACGAGTCAAAGAAATAAGCAAAGAAAATTCGAGCTTAATGCTGGACTCTAAAGGGACGCAGTTTTGAAAAAAAATGACTCATAACCACAATGATTTAAAATAAAAGCAGGAAAGTATAAAACCCAGATCACTTGTCACATAAATGTAATTCATACTTCGAACACATCTTCCGGCTAGACACGTATCTCGTGGATCACGGCATGGAGAAAACTGAAACAAAAATCAATTTTTATTGAGGAACTCACTAAAGTGCAATAATATATAAACTCTATGAAGCATTTTAAGAGATATTATAATAACACCAACATTTAGTTATGATAAAAAAAATTAAAAATCGGTAATTAACAGAAATTTGCATAAATTAAAAATAATAGTTACCTGGGAGCAAGTTTTCTGACCTCCTTAAATGGAAGAAACGTTTCCTTAAACATTGTATTAAAACTATTACAAATGGCAAAAAGTCGTTGATTATTGACAATAAAGGCATGAACTGGTAAAAATTTTATCCCTAAAGAAAACATTTCTTTTCCAGTAAAACCTTCTCCAACATTATTTTTGCTCCTATATAACAGACAGAAGCAAGGATTTAGTAGGTGTAGATAATTGATGTTGTCAATTCTATTGTATCTTAAAATTTGTAAGCATCATAAAAATGAAATTTAATTTGATGCTATTTGTATTAAAAGAGGTCATTAAATACTACCTAGCTATCTAATATTCCTCTGTATTTCTTTTTTTTGTTTATATATATATATATATACAAAAGTTGGATTTAACGCTACTGCTTAAAGGCCGAGGTTTTCAACCGGTCGGTTTTCCTCAGGTAAGTTTGGTGTGGGGTGGAGCTTAATTGAAGCGGCTGTGAAGCCCCGAGGGAACCAGGCTGGGTTGTGTATACCTACCTATATACACAGGATGTTACCTGTATATTACCTGTAAATGTTTTCCTAAGACTTGGTAAAACTTCGCGTGTTGGCCAATCGAAATGTTGATGGTCAAATTTATGAAATAAAACATGACAAATTTATGTTGTAGATTGATTCCTGTAGTTCAATTCTTTTTTTCAAAACATGTTTGAATAAAGAAGACAATTTTAGTATTATTTTGTGCGTTAATAAATTTCAAATGTTCTATAATCCTGGGTTGTAAGCTGGCGACACCGAGGGAAAAAGTCTCACTCTCAAAACGAAAGTAGAAAAAAGCGCGGTCCTGAATAAGTCTCTAAAACTTAGAAATCCTGTTTGAAGGCTAAATTGTATAAAATATATAATAAATATTTCTTAATATAATTTCTACGTGGTTTTCCCATAACGCATGTTTTGTAAAAGTGATCATTGCATCAAGGTGCTGTTTCTTCGACAGGTTGACGAATCGGGAATTTAATCATTCGTTCTCCTGCTTTTTTTCTTCAGGATCCGTAAACTAAAAAATTCTAAACATAACATGTATATGCAAAGGCAGCTTTTATAACACTGCTTATTTCTATTTAAAACTGGTCATTTTACCGTAACTTTCATCACCATGTCTCGAAGAAATATTACACTTGTCTTATAATTTTTTACTTGGACAAAATGTCTATATCATAATTATAAAAAGGAATTATTTATTATTTTATTAAATTACATGATGCTTCTAATGAAGTTCGGTATTTTCTGTTTAAGTAAAGTCGATGTACGTGTAAATTTGGATGGATAATATACTGAATTATAGATTGTATCTCGAAATGACCCCCCCTCTCCCCCGCCTTCTTAATTACAATGTAAATAGAGATGACTGATTTTTCTTTTTATTTATTTAATTATTTGACAGACTTATTATATATATAGCTCATTTCTTAATCATAAAATAAAAATAAAATATTAGCTCTGGTTCCTTCTTTATCCCGATGTTATATATGCGGTAGGCATCAAAAGACTGAATGTTAGTTCAATGATCGGTACGATCCCCAGCCAAGGTATATAAGATATTCACAAAGGCTGGTAACAAAATGTCAATCAATTTTCAGTATCCAATCCCAGGCTCAATTTCATCTGATTGACAGGGGTTCACAGACCATGTAAATTTGAGGGCGGTGCTTATTTCCTCCCCCTTTAAGATGTCTAATTATGATTAAAATACACACACTTTCAGCAAAGCTTTTAGGGTAAAATTTTAAGTTGCTTTTAAACTTGAAAATGTAATCATGATTATTTTGAAAGTCATTATAGTATTTTTAACGTATTAGTATGGATTGGTATTCAATTCAAAAAACGATCTATGAAAACTAAGTTTATAACATGCCAATAGTTGCATTTAAGCTGTTAATCGTGCAAAATTGGAAACCACTAAGTACTAGAAAAAAATACAATCATGAAATATTGCGTGTTTCAATAAACTGTTAAAGGATCGCTTTCAACTGAAATTGAGATAAAATTTGACTCATACTTTATATTGAATAGCACTTTTTGTTGCTTTGAATGCATATTTAGAATGGGTTTTTTGACGATAAATCTGTAAATTTTATCAATACTTCTAATATTTAAACAGTAAAATTGTTTCCCTTACCTGAAACACATTTACCATTTCGACATACATCCCATGGATTAGGGCACGGATTAAACTGTTCAATAAAGAATCAAATAAGTGAATAAAAATAATATACAATGCGTTTTGATATATATATATATATATATATATATATATATATATATATATATATATATATATATATATATATATATATATATATATATATATAATGGTGATCAACGTTTCACTTCTTCTTTAAAGTATGTATTTAAAATAAGACTTACCGGAGAACAAGGTTGCCGATCTCCTAAAATGAAAGAAAAAAACATCTCATTTATCATTGTATTATAACATTTTTAATTAGAAATGAGTTGCAGATTATTACTAAAATAAATCATGGATGTTGAATAAGTTTAGAATATTACTCTGAAGTGCAGTTCCACTTTTCCGCGATTCGATACTGCTTTTCAGCTAAACAAATCCTGCTTTTCCGCGATTATTTTTTTTTTGCGACTTATTTTAACATGTATCTCTTCAATTCCGTTAGCCAGGTAAAGTCTGTTCCTCTTGCTTAACACTGTCATTACTTTTGCATCGGTTGTAATTGTGGCTTTGCATATTTTACCTACGCTCCATCGGTAAGACACAATACCATTCCTTAAAACATAAGACATTCTTTACGTAAATCTATCGTATATAATACTACGGAAGCCCATAAGTGCCAACCTGTATATGTATAAAGGAAAAGCAATATATAAAAGCAAACCTCGATATATAAAGGAAATGCGAAATATAAAAACAAAACCTCGATATATATAAAGGAAACTCGAAATATATAAACAAAACCTCGAGATATATATATATATATATATATATATATATATATATATATATATATATATATATATATATATATATATATATATATATATATATATATATATAAAGAAATCCGAAATATATAAACAAAACATCGATATATGTAAAGAGAAAAATTTCCATCGCCGATCTAATGTTTTGAGTGCAATCATTTGGAGTGGCTCAGTTTCAGGATGGTATTAGTGTATTATGTTTTCTTTATTTGTGTATCTAAATAATTATGATGATTAAAACTAAAGCTAACAAGCATTCTGAGAGTATTGCAGTAGCAATACTAGTCCCCTACCGGCTAGTGTAATCTGGTTCCCGTTTAAATTTAAAAATGCTGTAATTCCGTCAAAAATCTTTGAAGCAGAACTTAATGCAAACTTGATCTGTAACTCATTAATATACACTTACATATCAAAAATCAGTTCAATATCTGCAAGCATTTAGAAAAAAGTGCGAAAAATCAAGTGGGGCATACTGACAGACAGAGGGACAGCTAGACAGACGGACAGCTAGACAGACAGACGGACGGACAGACTCAGAGGAAACCTATAGTCCCCTCCGGTTTCACCGGTAGGGGATTAATAAACTGCTGTTCTTCTTACAGTTCAAACGTGTGGGACAGAATTACACTAAAGAGACTTTTTTGCTCAGTATGTATATTCCATAGCACTAAATGTTGGGGGTCTTTTCAATCGAAATATAATTCAATGCAAAAATGCAAGTGTGTGTTATCATTTTTATAAGTTCGTTAACGTTTTACTATGTTTTTACGTGATGCATGGAGAATTTAAAATCGATTTAATTTACAACGTGGAACAATAATCCGCACTTTAATTATGTAAGTGTGCACTAACTCATTTCTTTTCATTAATTCATTAATTCCCTAATACTTGATATTTCTTTCACACCAAATACCCTAAAATTATAACAGTAATTGTACCTGTCGCCTTCTCTCAAATTCCGATCTTCCCTCACATTCAAATGAAGGGGGAGGGGGACGAGCACCTTCATTGATCTCTCCCCTCTCTCCCATTCTGATTTCGATTCCTTTTTTACAATCAATGGGCATACTAGTATATTATTTTTATAATAAATGTAAATAAATTTGAATTAGGACATTAAAAAAAACTGAACTTGTTAAGACTTTATACGTTGATCATTATTTTCATAAATTCTCGGTTGTGAAACCAAAGGTAGTACGGCTAAGTTTTGGTAAAACAGGACACAAGGTACGTAGGTTGTAAAAACGTAATTAATCAAAATACATGTAAAGTCAATAGATACACAGAAAATACGATACACATTATACTTATTTCATGAATATATATAATTAAATGCTCATCTACTCAATTAAGTGCATTATATTAATTAATTTTACAATTACAGTTCATTGATATATGCATGCATGTATAAAGAAATTAACACTATTAAACAGCACTATTTTGATGATTCTGGGAAAGTAATACATGAGTACTGTATAACAGGTCACACAGTGGAAAATTTTTTCTTTATATATATCGCATTTCTCTTAATATATATATCCAGGTTTTGTTTATATATTTCGCATTTACTTTATATATATCCAGGTTTTGTTTATATATATATCACATTTTCTTTATATATATCGAGGTTTTGTTTATATATTTCGCATTTCCTTCGTATATTTAGAGGTTTTGTTTATACATTTCGCATTTCCTTTATATATATATCGAGATTTTTTTTTTATATTTGGCATTTCCTTTATATATCGAGGTTTGCTTTTATATACATGTATTGCTTTTCCTTTATATATAGAGGTTGGCACTAATGGGCTTCCGTATAATACATTTGTTTCCAGGGTTTGTTTCTGTATGAACAATTTCCAAATCAGATCAGTGTAAAATGTGAAATTCCTTCAAATTTGATCACAAAATGAGATAGTACTCACTAATGAGCAGAAATCTTCGGGGGAAATACTGGTATATCGCCAACCGTTTGATGCTAAGCGCTAATCGTGGCCATTTAAAAATCGCAGAAAGGATAATTAAAATAAGGAAATAACACATAACATATAGTAAAGATCAATCACGGAAAATCAATGTGAAGAAGTCGCAGAAAGCAGACAGGTTTCGAAAATAAAATCGCCGAAAAGCAGGACTGCCCTCTTAAGCAAATACCATCCTTAAGTTGCAATAACACAATAACCAACAGTTAAATTTTTTTTCTGCGTGTATAATAAATTGCAGATAAATATTTATAATTAAAAATGAAAAAAAAACTTCTCCAACTTTATATTTTGTTCCCATATAACAGATAGGAGCAGGATTTCGTCAGTGTAGATATTGGATGTTGTCAGTTCTATTGTTTCTTAAAATTTGTATCATACAAAAATATTTACATTCAGTGTAATTTTCTTTATGAAATCCATTAGAAATCTACGACGTTGACATCTCTGTAACATACGCGAAACCTTGTCAACATACGGTAGAATACACAGTAGGAACTATACGCATTTTCAATATCTAGGAACACCTAGATTTTGACTCAGTTTAATAAAAAAAAAAACTACCCTGTTAAATTAATGTAAAATACAACAACTGTCCGTTTAAGATTAAAAGGTTTTTATCACGTCTCGAAATTTTTTGATATGACAAAGTTTACATGTTATTTTAAATCATATATTTAAAATTCTTTGTTAGAAAATTTTTGATTTTCAGCGATTCAAAGTTTGAATTTCTCAATATGCTTATTTTGATCGCTGATGTTACGCGCCATTGCTGTGACGTCATAGGTGTAGTTTTCAAAATTATTTCATAATTAAACGATAATTATATGTTTCAAGAATATAATAGTGTTTCATTTTAAAGAAACTTAGATACTTGATAAAAACCCTTTAATTTGGTTTTTTCTCGCAATGTTCATTTGCGTTATCGCGCTAACGTGCGGTATTCAATTTGTCGGCATGGTCATGTGCGTTGTAGGACCGAAGCACCCAAAAAATAAGAATTCAATGCTTAAATGAAGAAACTTAATTTCATGCTATTACATTTAAAAAGGTAATTAAATACTACTTTGTCAATTGATAATCATATTCCCTCTGTTTTTTTTAATACAAAAAATTGATTTAACGTTATTGCTTTTTAAAAAGACGTCTTATTTATGATTAAAATACACACACTTTCAGCCAAGCTTTCAGGGTAAAATTTTAAGTAGGTTTTAAATTGAAAACGTAAACATGTTTATTTTTGAAAAGTCATAATAGTATTAATTTTTAACGTTTTGTTATGGTTTGTTACGAGTCAAACTTTAAATATAATGTACAATTCGACTGTTTCTTAAAATGATGCATGATCATAAGCAAAGAAAATTTGAGCTTAATGCTTAACTCTAAATTTACGTAACTCGAAGAACGCATAACTACAATGACTAAAATTTCATGCAAGAAAGGATAAAACCCATAATATCGCAATAGGTATTGCACGAAAAAGATCCCTCACTGCTCAAAGGCTGTATGTGTTGAGTACAAGTCTGAATTTGTAGCTCTCCACCGGCAAGTGATGGCGTCTCATAAGACTGAAAAATTCTCAAACAAATGCTACTATTACGATACAAGTGACAGGTTTCGATAGTAGCAAAAGCCAGAGAGAGAGAAACATTGAATCATAATCTTTTTTAAAAAAATAATATTATGTATCTACTGTTCTGGCAGATAAAAAAAACATCAAAGGAACTGGAGGAGGGAGAGTGTCATAAAAGGATATGTAGGAAGGTGGAGGATTCTCGAGTTCTATTAAACATCTTTGTATGGAATTACATCTTCCTATACCCCCCCCACCCACCCCCCTCCCCCAAAAAAGATAATAATGAATGACAGTGATTTTATACTCATTTCTTACGGGTAGATATAACTTCTTCAGATCGTTTTTACTCCGATACATATTGCATGTATAATACAACTATTACAATCTCGAATTCTATTTGTAAAATACTTGTATACAAATAAAGTGACACAACTCCATGATTACTAAATTAAATAGAATTCATGAAAGCAAATGATTTTTATCTGAAATATTGGGTTTATTACGCAAACATTGCAAACCTCCATATGTCAAATTTGTTTTGCAGGCACCAGCGCTTCTTGAACAAACTAAGATATATGTCTTAATTTAGATAAAGATTGTCTTCGTCCTAAAGTTAGGACAAAGATTAGGAAGTCTTAAGTTAAGTCTTTATCACCTTATATAGTATAGCTTCGTTGGCCTACTTTAGACTAATAGGTCTATACTAGTATGCCGTAAGTCCATTCTCAGACATATCTTAATCCTAAGATAGTTTAAAAACATGCCTGCAGAATACCTCTTTTGCAATCGTAGAACAAATAAATATTGTAATGTTCACTTCTGCTCACAATTTTACGATTTTGTGTTGTTTGGATTGTTAATCGTATTAAAAAATTCTGTAAAAACAGTATTATCATAAAGAATCTTAAAGTCAAAATTTCGCACATTCTACGGACTAAACAATGACCTTGCTTGAAAGTACAATTTGTCGTAAAGTCGAATGTTGACTAACGTCTTTCATACAAATTGTTAGGCCATTTTTTTTTTACATTAAATTGTCTACGGATTTTTCCCTTTAACCAATCATAACATCGTAGTACACGGCGGATGTGTCTGATTGATCATGGATGCCTACTCCTCCATGGCACCTGATCCCTTCTCTGTTTTCAGAGGTCTGCGTTGGTTCTGTTCTTTATTTGTATTATTAAACAGACTTTTGAGAATGATGACAGATGGTTATCTTCATATTTTATAATAATGATGTTATTTACATGTAGCTGTATGCATTTAAAAAAAACAAATTACCTTTATAATTTTCCTATTTTGAAATTTTTAAACATAGTGCATACATCATATACACCTTCCGTTTATACACCTTTACCGTTGATTAAGACAAGGGATTCTCTAAAAGTGAAATATCTATACATTATAACCATTTCTTTCTAAATTTTATAACATCCATCAGAGAAAATAAATTTCACTTAAATACCTTTTTTCAAATGCCTAGAATGAAGAAAATTTATGTCGTATTTCGTTGAATTCGTTATATGAGCATTATATCCACACAAAATGTATACCAATCTGAGAAGTACAAGGGTAAAGAAGGTCGATGATTTTAGAAAAGTTTTGTTCAATATTACTGAAGAGTGTGTTTGAGTATTACACTGAAACGCTAACATCCTATGTTTTCAGTATTGAAAGAAGTAACAAGTTAGTTTTTTAAGAAAAGAAATCAGTACAAGGTTAAAATAATAAAATTCTTCAATAAAACATTTCAATTCTCTAGATAAAGGTTCCCAGTTTTGTTTTTTTTCACTGAAAGCTAATCGAGAATTGCTTGATTTAGAATTTCTTCAATATCTGATATGAACCATCGAAATAACTAAGTAGACAATATATTGTTTTTACCAACAGTTTTTCAGATGTTACAACCAAAAAAAAAAATTACTGTAAGCAAGTAAGCAATGTCCTAACGCAAGGAGGTAATTTAGCGATTGATTAAGTTACTTACCATCGTCTACTCGACACACATTATTCACACAGCTATGACCCGGTGGACATAAAAACTATAGAAATAAATATCGTACATAAGTTTCAATATAGAAAATGTACGATACAAAATTTGTTGCAGAGAAAATACACTTGTGGACTAAAAAAATAATTTGGCAGTCAATTTTTTCTGCACATATTGACAATAGGACTATGAAAAGAGATCATACAAAATTTTTCACTTACGCTACATGGCAGTTGCTGTTGTCCTCGGACGCTAACAGAAGATCCCAAAAATAAGGCGATGAGCAAGTACCACATCTCTAAATTAAGGAAGTTTATATGGATTAAAGTACAAGAATTTTTTCTGTTAGTGGAGTTTGAATTAAAAAAAAATTAAAATGTAAATAAACGGTGAAAAACATCTTATTTACTATATCAACTTTATTACATTTTGTAAATAACATATATATTTTACATTTCAACTATTCACAAGTTATATTTTGGCTACATGTAATGGGTGTTTATAAAAATGTCAAGCCTATGCTTGAGATTCCGTAATATAACACAATTACATGTACATGTAACCTCTGAGTAAGTACTAGAATATTTTCTAAATACATGTACATGTATCCAAGGAAATGATTTATTTTGTAAATGATTTATGCTGTCTTTTTACTACGCAAGTGTATTACCCTTCTGAATTACCCTTCTGTTTATAAAAGTATAGGAGAGACTGAGTTGAGTGTCCCTTCTGTAGTATACTGTACGTGCACATAAATTGGCGTATTTAAAATTTAGCGCAATCACTGGGTATTGAGTTGTTGGCGCATTCACACCAACGCGCCGTATATTGTATTAATATATGATTTCTTAGCGGTATTCATGAATTAGCGCATCGTTGTCCGCGCCAAAGCCGCTAAAATATGAAGCCCGCTTTTTTAAATATACATACAGTATTTTTGGTAACATCTTTACATTTAATGAAGTTAAGCTCCATTCTCTAACACAAGAGATCTCCTTACATTTGTTTCAATGTTTATGAAAAGGGGGATTCGAGGTTGTTTTGCGCTTGTCGGAAAGGCCCGAGAAGTTGCGATTGACCCATACCTAGCCTTAAATCACTTGTGTAATCGATTTTTGATATGCTCACTACCGGTAATTATATATGTATGTTACTCAGCAATAAATTAAAATAATCGAAAGAGAATAAACCACGTTCATTAAAAGTATCATTTACAGACGAGTGATTCGATGTGGATTGTACAAATGGAAAATTTTACAAAGCATAGCGAAAATTATAAATACAGTGAAAAATTATAGAACACGAAAAATGTAGATTAATACAAATAAGGATTATACAATACAGTGGTAAATTATACAATGAAATTGGAAAAACTATAGAATACAAATGGAAAATTATACAATATAAATGGAAAAGACCGAATATTGCAACGTTGACATGCCATACTTGTACAATTGTGAAGAAACTTCTTTTTATTTGTATTATATTTGAATTACACGTTATCATACTAAGTATTATCTAACAATCGTTGACATTATCATTATTATGTTAGGTTTTATGTAATTTCACTCTTTTAAATATATCTAATGATGATTTATTAACAGCTCATTAAATTAATTTTAACAACCATGGCATCTTTAATAAATTTTTATTACGTCAAAGCAATATTTACTTGCATTATGGTCAAGTTTAGAAGTCTATTTTTTTCGATAAACTTATTGAAACAAATAAAATCTTTAAAACAGTGCTTATATCCATTAACCTTGGATATTAAAGTTTTATTCATATTATATTGTTCATATTCTGATGCAGAATTAATAGGAAAGCTGATTGATAATTTCTGATAGAGCTTGTACAAGTACTTTCTTCTTATATCGGAAGCTTCCTTGAAAAATTTTTTTTTTGTGTGCCCCATCCCTTCAAAACGACTTTTTAGACCAATTAGCGAAAACTCTTTATGCAAATAAGATATACTTTACCTTATCTTGCCTTTCCTTTTCTTACTAATTGTTAGCCAATTACTTAAACACTGAATTGCCTACGGATTTTTCCGCTTGCCCGATTATGACAATGAGCACTGTTGCAACCTCTATTGAAATAACGACCACTATTGAAATAATTATTTCAATAGTGGTTGAAAGTGCATTTCAAAACTAAACACAGGTTGAAACTATTATTGAAATAACGTTCAATTTTGAAACAATGATTTCAAAAGAGGTTTTGAATGCATTTCAAAACCTAATTCAGGTTGCAACCCCTATTGATATAATGCTCACTATTGAAATAATGATTTCAATAGTGATTAAAATAATGATTTCAATAGTGATTGAATAATTATTTCAGTAGTTGTTGACAATGATATTTAACCATTACCACAGTGCAAGCCTTATTGAAATAACCCCACTATTGGAAAAAAATATACCGGTATAAGGATAAATACTTCATTTTGTTTTCATACATAACATAATAAATTAATTTATTGAGTTTAAAATATGATATGTAATTTTATGTTTTAATTTCTGTATAGAAATACTTTTAACAAGTATATGTGGGATTTAACTGATCTAGTAATTTTAAGTTATTTTCTTATATAAGGTTCCTCTTTGCTTTTAATTGGGGAAAGTAAAAGATTATACAGATATAGTTGTAGAAATCAGAGTATCTACTTTAAAAAGAAGAAAAAAGACACCTATGTGTAATTACTGTATGTGTTCAAACTTTCTGATGAAAATATGATTATTTTTAATCAGAAAGATATAGAATAGAAGTAAATTCTCGCTATATATACATTTAAATCCACTATTCGGGAAAACTAAGTATAAGCGATATAACTTAAGAGGTTGTTATTTCAATAGTGGTTACACATATAAAACCGCTATTAAGATAATATCCACTATTGAACTAATTATTTCAGTAATGAACGTTATTTCAATAGTGAGTACATTGTTGCAACCACTATTGAAATACTGACCACTAATGAAATTATTTCAAAAGTAGACATTATTTCAATAGCGGTAGTATTGATGCAACCACTATTGAAATTTAGATCACTTAGTCGAATCAAATAATTATTTCAAAAGCGGTCATTATTTCAATAGCGGTTTTATATATGTGACCACTATTGAAATTACACCCACTATTGTAATATATGTAATGCTTATACTAACTTCCCTTTAAGTTGTGTGTGAGGGTGTGTGTGTGTCATACGTGTACAACCGCAATTCTCACTACACGAGGTTTTACACCTGAAAGTCACTACACTATGTTCCAGCAATGCTAACAAGATAAACAGACCATAACTGTGATTCTATGGGTCTTTGTATATGCAAATGAGGTTCAGAAAGATGAAAATTCAAATAATGAAAAAATGATTTTTCACCTAAAAGTCACTACATTTGGTCACGTGATTTTGCTCAATCACACACCGGAAGTTGACAAGTCACTACATGGCTTTACCAGGACACACACAGGAAACTCAGTACATAAACACTCTTGTAAGATATTATACAAGAAAATCACTACATTCAGTAAATTTTGAATGCGTTTCCCGTAAAAACACCAATTTTTCCAAATAATTGTCGAAAATACATGACAATGTCTGCATGAAATCTGTATGCTATAGAAAAAAAATTGTCAAAGGATATCCGATAAAGTTAAAAGATAAAAAATTGGCTTTCAACATCTGTATATAGATTAAAATAAAGCAAATGAAATGAGAAGAATAAATTAACCGTCATGACAAAGATTTAAAAGTATTAACGGCCAGGCACGTAACATCGTTTTTGAAAGTCGGGGGGGGGGGGGGGGGGCAGAAAATACAACTTATTACCCGAAAATCTTTGGCAAGCAAGAGAAATAGGTTAACTTCAAAAAGTCGAAAATCCTATTGGTGGGTTGAACTTTTGTGAACCCTCCAAAAAATTTCTTTACAATAAAATGACCGCATATAAATACATAACAAAACAGTGTGTGTATGGGGGGGGGGGGTGTTAATGAACACTTTCACAGTTAATTAAAAATAAAATTTTAAGTTTGAAAAAAGGAGGGGCCAAGCTACCCCTCCCCTCTGCTTTCACGTCGCTGACGGCAATGAATTGCCGAGTGTGCGTTGATTCAAGACTTGCTTCGTCAAGAATATTCGTTTTGTTTTTGTTTTTTTCTGTTGCATTGAGTAAGACAAGTAGAAATTGAAAATCGTTCCCCAATTTTAAATGCAATCATTATGTTTTTTATGATCTTAAAGAGTTTATTTTTTTCTTAACAAGAATTTTATAGGATTACAAATTACTTAACTACTGTTCATGTAATAACATCTCGTTCTTTTTTATGTGGATGACACCACAACTGGCATTCAAAGGAAAATTTACAATAGTAATATAGTATATTCAGAAAAGGGGGGGGGGTAGCCTCCGCGTTCTACGGACCTGAAATAAGGGGGAAAATAATGATCCCTCTTATTTATTCTTGCAATTTAATGACTTCAAAAAACGGAAATTACTTTGGTGGGGAAAGTCCACTTCATTGTTTTTTTTTTGCATAACATTCTATCATTTCATATTCATCATTTCGTTTTCCAATTCAGCATTTAAAAATCCCATTGCTCAAATATGTTGGTCTCTAAAACCATGATTTTTTACGAAATGCAGTTCATACAGCACCCTTTAGTTTTCTTATCCCTTTGCTCAAATGTTTTACAACATTTTGAAAGATCAAACAAAAAAGACGGTTTGTTTGCATGAAACAATTTAATTGCATCAACTATACAAAAAAGTACATAAAAAGAAGGCTGGCATGAAATAAGATACACATGTATAAGCCAAGTGTTAATAGATAATTCTTGCTGTTAATTTTTAAGGTATCCAAAATAAGTTTATTTTCACAGAACAACCAAGGACAATCAGTCAGTATTTGTGCAAAATATAGTGGCATTTTCTTAGTGCATTAAACAACATACAAGTTTCGAAATAAAAAAAAAACTCTTTAAGCTTAAAGCTGACAACCAAGCAAGAAATATAAATATCATGCAGTTAATAACTTCCTGTGTTTAAAATGCAACAAAAGGCCCTAGGCTTTGACTATTACCTGAGTATTATGAATTTCTCAGGCTGTGGTCATTTCAAAACCGCCTGGATCTAGAAATCTAGACCCATGCAACAAAAATCGTAAATTTTCACAAGAATTCTATATTTATTATCATATTGATGCAGCTGAACTCCTAGAAGTTCAAAAGTAAAGAGGATAAGGTATACTGGCTAATACTGTATAAAACATTCTAATTTATGACTAACTCTGCCTTTTCATGGGCCTGAAACATGAAGAAGCCTTCAATTAGAGGGCTAAGCATTAATTAAGATTAATTTTAGAGGTCCATGTTTGCTCTGCTACGAATATGGATTATTCTAATGGACTTTTGAGTTTGATTACTATTCATAATCTTCATATTTAATTTTATGCCTGCTAGTTTGCCTGCTAGATGTTCACCAGTAAAGGATTTTTTAAAACTTCAATTTACAGCCCATAGCAAGGGTTTCAAAAGTAGGGGGGACTTCAAAAAATATCCGACAAGCAAAAAAAAAACATTATTTACTGAACCGACCTTATTGCAACAAAAAGGGGGGGGGGGGGGGGGGAGGGGCAACCAGGATATAAAGGATACTTTACTATAGCAAAATACTATACTCGGAAAAAGTGAGGGGGGGGGGGGGGTTCTATGGGCCTGTTGCAGTGTCAATATAAATAGGTAAACCTTGCATGAACAATGGGTCATGAGCGATAAATTTCACAAATTTTGGTTAAAAAATAATTACTTGCTTAAATTATGCAAACAGCTGTCTGCTACATGTCCATGAAAAAAAATTTATAGGATATATTTTTTCAATATTCAGCTCCATCCTGAACCTATATGCAAAAATGAATCTCACAATTTTTTGTACTTAAAGAGCTATGGGCTTATATGATATGCATACCATCAACTGCCTGCTGGCAAAACTTCTCACTAAAGAGACATGAATGTTTTTTATTATCATAGTTCCCAGACGATGTTTTTGGCCTCTGAAAACCTGGTCTTTCGCTTCTCTGACTGTGGTAAAACTTTGCCGACATCATCATGATCATCTTCACATTCACTGTCCTTTTCGCTGTCACTTGCAAGTGCAGCTTGTTTCTGCTGCATTTCAGATTTGAGAGGCTTACTGGGCATATCTGAAATTATTATATATGTACATGTATTGACAAAAGGGATTCATCTTTATTTTTATAGAAGAGGCCAATGGGCCACATGGCTCACCCAAGTCACAATGGCCCTGCACATCCCCCCCCCCCCCCCATATATCCCTATGTAAAGCTTTGATTGCCTATTATGGCCTCATCTTACCCATTCAAACCTAATGAAGAGGTATGAAAGTTGTTTTTCCATACTTCAATCTGTTAGGCATGATTGAAACACTCTGTGTAAGCTCCTTATGGAGATATTTATAATCTTTAATGCTGGCTAATGAACATCATGTTAATGTGATGCAAAGGAAAGTAATTTATTTAAAATGAATTTTGTCAATTTATCAGACTGTGATCATGTCTGGAGAAAAAAACAACTTATGGAATTAATCCTTAACTGTAATAAAGAAACAGTCATACTTAAAATTCAAGACAGAAATTCTGCCAGAATTTTAATTCACTTTAAACAATCTACATATTGTACAATGTAATACATAACACCTTATACAAGAGGCCCATGGTCCATGACACCTGAGCCCTTTTGCAAGAGAAAAGCAGAAATCAGTTCAGTATTGGAAAGTTTGAGTAATTATACAATTGGTGCCACCCTATGCCCTGTGGGTGATGATTTGAACAAACCTGAAACTACTTCTCCCATCCTACCCCTTGATGTTACGATTTGAATAAATGTGAATGTACACTACCTGAAAAATACTCCTGTATTAATATAACAAATCATGGCTTTGCTGTTCTTGAGAAGAAGGCCTTTAAAGACATTTTCTATATAATTCCATGTAAAAGTCTTATGCCCCATTGTGTCCCCACCCTTCTGCCAGGGGTCATTAGTTGATAAAACTTCAAGCTACATTACCTGAGTATGCTTCTGTATTAATATGACTTGTCATGGCTTTGCTGTTCTGGAGAATAATTTTTCTGGCCCACTCAGACCTGTTTAACTTTTCTAACTGATGTCAGTATTCTAGAAGTTGTCAGTATTTTGAGCAGTTTGTCAGTAAAAATGCAACTCAGCTTATTAGACATTTTTATATGAAGAACCCCTTGTTATACAAATACTAAGCACTAACTACGCAAGTCACCGTATGCTGTCTACTGTTGCTTACATATTTTACATTTGCCGTAATTATATTGTTTTTAGATCATTTTTGATAAGACCACTTCAGTCAACAAGCTTCTTTATCAAACTGATTGGCAAATTTCGGGAACGACTCCGATTTTTTCCGTCTTTAGGGAAAATCTGTACATTTTCAACGTGAATCTGTAGAGCACTTTTTTACTCGAAGATTCATGGAAAATACTAAAAAGCTGTACAAGTAAACAACTCTGCCCATTGTTTCTGGAGAAGATTTTTTTAAAGATGCCATCAAATTTGCACTTATTTTTGATTATATCCCCTTAAAATAGGGTGATGCCTTTCATGTGAACAAACTTGAATCCCCCACCGAAGAATACTTTGTGGCAAGTTTGGTTGAAATTGACGCAGTGGTTCTTGAGAAGGAGCTGAAAATTTGAAACAACAGTGACGCTGGAGATGGACAATGGACTAACTTTGATCAGAAAAGCTTACTTGAGCTTAAGAAAGTTCTGTTTTCAGCTTTATTACCAAGATCATTAATGGTATCTTCATCACAGCTTTTTCATCGCTTGAAGGATGGTATGATTCATCATCATTACCATCATCATACTCGTCTGCTTCATCACTTAAAAGTGGCCCTGTATCATGTCCTATTTAAAATTCTAAAAAAGAAATTATCATTTTAAAACTGTTCATTTTTATGGGGTTAACTTTTAATTTGTAACATCCAAACAACATCATAAATATAGATTACCATTCTCATTGACAACATCATGACTGCTGCTTTCATTTACAAATGATTGGTGTGATTCCTCATCCTGCTCAATTGCAAAAGACTCTGTCAAAACATTCAAATTAGATATTAAATTGGAAAATAACACTTTTCTTAAAAAGTAAGATTCAAATTTATGAATACAATAGGGGTTATCTATTTTTTTCTTTTTGCCTTTACTATGCATGCAAAGAAGAGTCCCATGGGCTACAACATTTCCCATGTAAAAGAAGCTTTTCTTAATCTTTATAAAGAGTTTTTCTCCTTAATTTTCTCATGCAAAATTGTGAACTCATATTATGACCCTATCCTAACTCTAAAGGGTCTCTGAATCCACTATCCCCCCTTTTGTGGTCCAGTTGTTCTTAAGAGGATTTGTAAAGATTTTAACCAGTACATAAATGTATGTATATATTTCAAGGTAAATCTTTGATCCCCTATTGTGGCCCCATCTACCTCAAAGGCCATTTTTTGAACAATTTAAAATCTTTATTACATCAGGAAGCTTTCACATAAATTTCAGCTCCTGACCAGTAAAGTGAGAGTATTATGGGCTTTGAGAAGAAAATACACATTATGGTTTAATTTGACCTCCAAATCTTTTTTCTAGTACCATAATAGTGTACGATATATTTATTAACTTGACAACATACCAATCTTCTCCTGGATTTTGTATGCTGGTGAGCACAGACTGGGCTCACAGTTTCCAGCAAAGTTATCAGCTGTAACTCTAAACTCCCACTCTGAGTCCTGAGGAAGATCGGTGACAGTAAAGAGGGGTCAGTGCAGGGGTACTCATTTCTCTGTTCCCTTAAACCTCTCTTCTACAAGGTAGTCTACAAAGATAATCAATATTATCAACTGCTACAGTGTTTATGTGGTTTTGAACAGAGATCAACATTTCCCTTTTTTTATTCTACTTTTAAATTAGTACCTGTAATTTTACAGCCACCATTATGTTTAGGTGGTTCCCATTTCAGATAAGTTATAGAATTGTTGACAGCCTCTGGTACACCAGGTGGCAAAACCTTGGCTAAAATAAAAGTTTAAAAACGTGAAAGAAAAAATAATCGAAAATAAAGTACAATATGGTAATTGTTTTTTAAAATGTTATAATTTTTTTCAAATATACTTACTGTATTTGGGCTTGGGAGTTATGGGACCAATCACATCACTAGGCTCACTAATTTAAAAACCTTCAAGATTCTTGGCCTGTATGTGGAAGTTGTATTCCTTGTCCTTTTTTAATCCCTTCACTGATGAAAAAACTCTCAAATTCAAGTTTTGTAAACAAAACAAATTTCAAGAATCACTTTTGTAAAACATCTTTTCACAGTTTTCAGCCATAATATACTAATTACATGCAACAAAAGGACATGTAAATCCACTTACTAGTTCATAAGAAAGATACATGTGTCAACAAGTAATCAGTTACTCACCCTCATAAACACACTCATCTACTGGGTAGTCATTAGCCTGCCTCCAGTGGTGGGGTCTTCGTATTCTATGACATATCCTATAATCTTCTTAAAACCATCATTTCTTGGTTTGGTCCAAGAGAGAGATTGACAAAATCTTCATCAATGTCGAAAACACTTGGATTTCCAGGAGGATCACAACAAGCTGAGGGAAACATTTAATATTTTCAAAATTTTTCAACCCAGTTCATCATGCAAGCACAAAGACATTCTTTTAATTGTATACACCAATCAATGCTCGAATCTTAACATATCCCTTCATATTGAAACGAAGTCTTAAAGTTTGGAATTCATTTGATATCTAACAATTCATGTTCAACAGAATTATCACTTCACTTCAGCTTAGCTTCAGGGGAGAGATCAAAATTCATACACATCTACAAAAACTAATCAATCACCTGAAAATGAATTTCTTTGGCTACCACTTAAATATTTAGATGACTTGCAAAATAAAGTGGACAGACAGGACAGTATATATAGCTTGAACGAATAGGGATATACTAAAATACTTAACTAAATGTGCATTCTCAACCAAATTTGTGCACAGTGCACTATTCAAAGAATGTCCATACAAAGTAGTCAAAATACCAATCCCAAAGATCTTGAACTTAGCATTTTACAATTTTTTCCTCATAAAAATAGACGAATTCAAAATTTGATGAAAAATATTAATGCTCTCAAACTAGGGATAATTAACATTTTTGGTGGAATGGCTCTGTTCAATGGTACCAGTTATGGAAGAAAAAAAATGCTGCTGTTTATTCTTTATCACAAAACACATTGTATTTAAAAAAAAATTCCATTTCTTTTTTATTTTAAACATTTTTTCCTTTATATTCCCACAAAAAACTTTAATCCACTATTGTTGTGCCACTCTACGGGTACCTCTAGGAACCATGATTGGGAAAAAAATTGTACAGCACTTTCTGAGGATAACAGATAGGACATTAATATCACTAATCAATGTCCTGTTGTGACATACATTCCAATGAAAAACTTCAATCCTTCATTGTAGCCCTATCCTACCCCACTGTAGATGCACTTCATTTATTTATTTTTAATTACAAAAAGACAATTGAACAAACTACCATGTTATGACTGCATCTTATTATGACATTTTTTTTATATGTTGATGTAAAAAAAATATTGATTCCATACTGGTTCCACCTACCCCATTAAGTCAGATTTGAACATGCAAACTTGAATCTATACCATGTCAGGACACTTCCACATAAGTTTCAATGGTTTATAAAAAGGAGATTTTTATATGAATCAAATTTTCACTGTTTCATAGCTACTTCTCCTTGAAAAGTTGGTCACCATTCATTTAAACAAATTAAAATTGCTAAGTGGTTCTCCAGAAGAAGTAAAATGCTCCTGAGCTTTTGAGTAGATTTTTGTCTTAACCTATATTTCCACTTTTGCATAATGTTTTAGTTCTTACAATAAATTTGGATTCTACAATACCAATTAAAATATATTCAGTTAAAACTCCATGATTAAATTCCATACCAAAAGCATTAAGTGAGGAACTACTGTATGTGTACTTAAAAAAGCAGGCTTCATATTTTAGAGGGCCCTTTGTGCAGACAACAATGCCCTAATTCATGAATACCACTAAGAAATCATTTATAAATACAATATATGGTACAGACATTTATAGCGCTAATTCATGATGTCGCCAACACCTCAAAACCCAGTGATTTCGCTAAATTTTGAATACACTATTTTATGGACACATACAGTATATTTTGTGGCGGAAGGTTTTTTTTTTAAGAAGAAAATGATCATTTCTTTCTCTTTCAAAGTATTTAAAGTATGCTAAGTTTGGATTCCTATTTTTCCATGCAGCCTACACACAGAGTTATTCTGAGCCACGAATTGTTTTATGCTGGTCCTAAATTATATATCAAATAAAATATCATGAATTCTATCATTATATTTGATAAGTATAGCAAATATATTGTGAAAATCCAGGAAAAAAGAGCCGTAATTTAAATTAAGCTTAAAATTAGCACTATTTTGGTAATATCTAAAAATTAACATCACAGACCCCCACTTTTAATTTTCTTTTCTGAATATATAAAATACTTTTAACCATTCTTCTTAAATTCAGTAAAATGTCATTACTTTCAAGATATTTTATTGCTTGATAATTTTTTTAATGCCAGAAAAATATTTTCTGAGTGCAAAAAGGTCAAATAATTGAACTTGCGAAGTAATTTGAAAATTTTTTGTTGTCACAAATTTTAATACACCTATATATTCAAGGTGAAATAAGACTGTGTTTGTTCCCATAATTTATTTGAAAAAAATATTGGAGGAAAAACTTTAAAAATTGATTTATGTGTAAGACGTATTTACAGTGCAAAAAAGTCAAACTAAATGCTCAATAGCGCCAAGAGAAGCACATTAACCCCTATTATTTGTTTTGATTTTTAATTAAGCTGGGTGTGTAGATTCTAAAAATATACTTGATAAAAGATTCTCATTACTTTTGAACTTAAAATTTCAAAATTATGCTTTGTAAAGTAGAAATCTGGTGTCTGATTATAATCGATAACATTGAAACACTAGAAGCTGATTCCAAACATTGATCAAAAATGAAAATAAACCAATGCAAGGAAACTCACAACATCTGTGTGATAAATGTATACAGACAGGGAAACTCACTACATGTGGGTAAATAATGCACTCTGGCAAGGAAACTCACTACATGTGTGTTAATAATGTACTCTGGCATGGAAACTCACTACATGTGTGTAAATAATGTACTCTGGCAAGGAAACTAACTACATGTGTGCAAATAATGTACTCTGGCAAGGAAACTCACTACATGTGTATGATAATTTTAAACAGACAAGGAAACTCACTACGTGTGTGTAAATAATATACTCTGGCAAGGAAACTCACTACATATGTGTAAATAATGTACTCTGGCAAGGAAACTCACTACATGAGTGTAAATAATTTACCCTGGCAAGGAAACTCACTACATGTGTGCAAATAATGTACTTTGGCAAGGAAACTCACTACATCTGTGTAAATAATGTACTCTGGCAAGGAAACTCACTACATGTGTGTGATAATTTTAAACAAACAAGGAAACTCACTACATCTGTGTAAATAATATACTCTGGCAAGGAAACTCACTACATATGTGTAAATAATGTACTCTGGCAAGGAAACTCACTACATGTGTGTGTAAATAATATACTCTGGGAAGGAAAATCACTACGTGTGCAATTATTGTCCTCTGACACGGAAATTCACTACATCTGCGTGATAAATTTTAAAGTTAAAGATAGAAACTCAAAACGTCGACACAAATACTGAGGTATGTGATTAATGCAGAGATTATTAGATACTGTACGTAGCATGAAAAAAATTGCTGGCTTCACATCAATGTTACTATGGAATGAAGGAAAAAAATATACTACATGTTTTGTCTTTGATGAAAAAATAAAAAAAAAATAAAAAAGATAGAAATAATGTTATATTGTAAAATATTTCAATACAAAATCTAATATTGCAATGTATCCAAGGTGTTGTAATAGGATTTTTAATTTGCAATACCTAGCACTTAACTATGAACACAATGAGTGATTTGGCAATGTTAAAACAAACTACATTTCCTTTGCAGTAAATTCATCATCAACTTGTTCCTACTATGGATAAATTATATATGGCTCAACTAGTATCATAAACAATGAAAGTATATCCCTGAATAGAAAATAGCAAAATTTATATTTTTTTCCCTAAAAATGTATGTCTGTAACATGAATATATTTCATTCAGAATGAAAGTAATAATAAAGAAATAATCCTTGAAATATTATGTTTTTTACATTATGTCAAAAATCTTGACGCGAGCCCATTGCAGAGGTCTGAGAGAGGAACGAACGACTACTCTGCAAAGGAGATTGGTAAACAGCAACCCCCCCCCCCCCCCCCGCCAAACAAACAAACAAACAAACAAACAAAACAAAAAACACGATATAATATCTAATCATAATATTTAACCTCCTGGGGTAGTGAACTCTATAAAACATGTTTAGTAGACTTATCTATAATGCATATCATAGAAGAAATATGGAATCAAAATAATCATCCCAAATTAAACATACATGTATTAGACCATTAGAAAGAATCTAGGTATGTCACTCCAGTTTGTTTACTTTGTACCCCATTGGTTTTTCTGAGTTGAAATCATGTTTTTATTTCAAAATGAAATGCCATTTCACATTCTTTTGACATATAATTCAGTCGGTCTTTAATTTGATGAAGCTTTTAAATTGGATTTGCATCTCATAAGAATCCTACAATTTATTCTCAAATACAAATCAATCAGTGTTTTGGAAAATCCTTAAGTAAAAGCAAGAGGCCACTCAATCTCATTCATAACAGTATGTCACTTCTTTTCATATCCATGCTCAATACATTTCACTCTGATTCTTATTCTTCATAATTTCAATACTTTGCCGATGCTTCATTGTGTTAGCAATGTATACCAGTTCTTCTTACTTTTATACTAATTCCAGTTCTTAACTACTGTAACATTATTTTTAAATTTGCAAATTAAATCTCTGTTACAAATATCAATTTAAATATTTTTGTTGTAGGCAACCAAGAATTCAAGTAATGTGAGAAAAACAAAATGCCAGTAATATGTCTTCAATTATGTCATAAAAAAGACTCTGG